TTACATTAATTTTCATGTCCAGAAGATTGCAAAAATAGAGAGTTTTTGGTAAAATAGCCCCATATTTAGTGAAGTATCAGCATTTAAAGATTGGCAACATTTTGTGATGTCTTTAGATGATCGGCACTATACTCACATTAGGTCAAAAAAATTTCTATCAAATGTTGATAAATTTGGTAAAGTACATATGTAAAGTTTTTTATTAAAAATAAACGACGATGAATTAGTATTAGTATTAGAATCCTTTTGAATATGGTACACAAAGTTTCTAAAAATAGGTAAATACCAGTACGCAACCCAATCATATTAATTGCGCCATAATAATAAAGGTTTTTCTTACGCATATATGAATATATCGAAAAATAATCTTGATATATAAATAGTATTAAATAGTACTTGTTCACATTAAATAATAAATTAGCTGGCTACTCTTAATCTCTAAATTTATTTGAATTCTTCTTTATTGTTTATTCATTTATTCGTTTATTCATTTATTTATTCATCTAGATGTTCTTTCGCCTTTTTCTTTTTTATTCCATTTTATTAATACATATAAAAATTATTTTCAAAAAATAAAAATATTAATTTGGACATGAAATAGAGGGCAATAATAGTGTTAATAATAACAAAAATGTTGAACAAAAGCCTAATATTTAAATTAAAAATAAAGATCATATGTAAAGTATAAAGCCTGCGATTAGAAATTTAAAGTTGGAAAGCACTTAATTGTCTTAAACACCTGCAAAAATGTAACCAATCTGGTTTCTGTCCCTTCTCTTTTTTTAAACGTTGTCATACGAAGATTAGAATCGAATAAATCATCTATCTTAGAGATTTGTTCATATTTAGTATTTATTTCTGTCTGGACGATTTTTTACAGGATTTATTGCCCTATTGAAATTTTCTGTAATGATCACGCGGCATTCCTTTTCTTTAACAATATAATGCCATTTACATCAGGGAACCAGAGTTTATATTATACGTGTATGCATATTTTATTGACAAAAATAGGACATTTGCGCATAATATAAGTATTATTGTATGCAGACTATACGTATTTATTATAACGCAAATCCTCCGTTTTGGTCAATAAAATACGTATTAGTATATGCTGCTAAATTCCGAATATATTATTAACTATCCTATCAGATTTACTATAATTGTCAGCAATCGAGATCTTAAATTCCCTCATTATACGATTAGATTTTATCTCTAGATTGACTAGGTAATTATCGTACAACTTTATACTAAAACATCATCTTAATATCATTAATTTCTTCATTGGCCCCTTTGGTTTTCTGAAAAAAAAAAAAAAAAAAGCCAAATATTTATTCTTTATTCCGTTTTTTTTAAACTCATTGATTGTCATCTATCTAGCAATTATTATGGCGCGGGATCTCTTAAACCACAAATTCTGTGATTTTTAAAAGAATAAAAGTTCATTTCTGTATAACATTTTTTAAAAAATAGCTCTGTTATGGCATAGATTGGGGCCCAAGCCTTAATGTGACAGAGAGTTTTTTTCAAAATATTGATGGGTTGTTAAGTTCTATTCCTTTTTAGTACATATATTTTACTTGTTCGCGAGGAATTTGGTCGCTTAAATTTGGACGGAAATTATGACATCAACAGATCCTTTTTTAAAAATTCTGGTCAGAGTTAAAAAATTGTAACATTAATACGTCAATATTTTTTATTTTACTCAAGTATTCATTCCAATAAATTGTCTTTGGTATTAATTATATATATTAAATTTGCAAATTTGAAATTTGGTTACGAGGCGCAGTAAATGTTGAATTTAATTTAGAAAATCAAACTGCGCCATATGCACAAACACTGTGATTTAAAATAAGAAATAATGCCAAGACTCTGTAATTAATTGATGGCGTTATATGTTTTCTTTTTTCAGAACATTTTTAGATTAAAGTTAATTGATGTTTGTTGTTATAAATAAAAAAAGAATTATTATTACTATCAACCTATTAAATATTGAAATCTCTTCATTCAATTCGGAAGGGATATTATTAATTAATTATTATATTAGTTATCTCCACATCTCCATTTCCATATATATATACATATATTTAATTAATTACCTCATTTTTTTTTGTTTAAAAGAACAATAAAAACTATAAATATACGCTTTCATATTTGTTGCACGATGAAACATTTTCTTAATGCCTCTCTACCATCGAGAACTTATAAAGTATTCTTTCAGTAGATCATTTAATTGACGTGTGGCATGTCATTGTCTAACCATACGCTGCTTGCAATTTAACTCCAAGATATTGGATTGTTGTGTGATATTTACAATCCCTCCTTGTGGAGATGCTACTGTTTTTACATATTTAACGTCGCACATAGCTGCTAATGGATATAGCTGGCCAACCAGGAGAGATATTTATTTCTCTCAACAATTACACGATCAATATTCATTTATTATATACAATTCTGCTTAATTGTTTGTTACTATTGTAAATATTAATAATAACCATCATCGTAAAACAATTATTTTGGGAGTGGATGATTTATAGGAAAAATTTAATTATATAAAGAGGAACTAATTTACTATCTGCTCTTTAGTGAATAAATTTTACATCAAAAAAAAAAAAAAAAAAAATCTTTAAAACAAAACGACAATAACAAAAAATAATAATAATGAACAAATTAGTTAGCATTTTCCTCTTGTTCGTTTTTCCAGCTATCATTTATTCAATTCCAGCTCCATCATCCTCATTGGTAAAGAGAGTATTTGCACAATGTGATGACACTTTTCCAATGACCTTTGATTCATTTGTAATTACCCCTGATCCAGTAGTGGTCGGTAAAGATGCTAGCTTAAGCTTCAATGGCACAACCACAGAGCCTATAGAAAGTGGAACCACATACTCGCTTGTTAGTACTGTTGATGGAGTAGAATATCCCAGCGAAGGAGATTTTTGCACAACTTTCAATCAAACATGTCCAGTCGCAGCCGGACCTTTTACATTCACAGGCAACGATACCTTTCCAGCTATTGATGTACCCGCAGGAGAAACTACTACAGTTGATCAAATTTATACTTGTATGTTATAATTTTATTTTTATCTATATTATTAGTTCATCTGTCATTGTATACTAATATATTTAACAATTTTTATTTAGTCACTGCTCCTGATGGAACTATATTAGGGTGTGTATCAGGAACCCTTTCTGTTACTGCATAAATTTGCATAAATTAATACGTACTCAATTTCCTATCTATAAACTGTTGTATTATTTCCTTTTTAAGTAAAATTAGAATTAATATAATTTTTA